GCTGAGAACCTTGCCTCCCGACTTCGGGACTCTTTTGTGCTTTTCCTCGGTTTACGAACTAGGTTCTGCTATCTCTTCCCGAAGGGAGGGAGAGGTCTCGTAGACCATCTCTCAGTGGTTGTAGGCTACTTTTCGTGGTCGTAGACCACTGTTCCTGTTTGGAGACCAGTTTTCGATTTTCAGAGCAGTCGGTCGTGCGCCTCAGTTCACTTTCTCCGTTTGCTCTGGGTTTTGGCACACGCCTTGTTTCCTCTCTCTAGAGGGACACTGTGACTCGGGAGACCACCTTTGTGGTCGCACACCACTTTCGATGCTTAACAGTCAGTTTTCGGGGCACCCAACTGCGCGTTTTGGCCCCCGAACCCTCGTTTTGCATCCGTCTTGGTTCATTTTTTGCATGGACCCTATTTTCATTGTCTGGAAGGTGGTACAAGGGTGGGAGACCACCTTTTCTTCTTGGAGACCACTTTTCCCCGCCAGATGATTTTTCTTGTCAGGTAGCTGGTCTCCCTCATTTTTGGGCCACAATTGTTGGTCTCCCACCACACCACTAGCGTGCATTGAGTGAGGAGACCACCCTAGACCACTCTAGGAGGCTGCCGACCAACTTTTGAGACTTGACCCTTTTGAACCTAGTCGGCTGACCAGGGCAAGTGGTCGGCCTACTCCCCTCTGTCTTGTCTCTGTGAGTTGTTGCCAGCCGTGCCAGCTGGAAGACACGGAATTGATCCTCCATACAGGATCTTCAAACTTGGTTTTTGGATTCTTGAAGAAGCTTTGGACCTCTTTGGCTATAAGAGAGACCCTCTCCCTCATTATCAAAGGTTCAGAAAATTGGTTAAGGCATACATATATCTATCTCTCTATATCTCTCTATTTTATGTTAAAAAGTCCCTTGTTCTTGGCCCATTGCATACCACCTCCTAGCCTAACCCCTCTACCATCACTCTAAACATCTTGGAGGCCATTTTCAGAGGTTGAAGGTTTGCTGTTTTGGTCTAGAAGCTGCTGGAGTTCTTGGCTACAAGGGTAACACACCTTTTTCCCTTTTTAGCTTTATTTTGCTTCACATCTTAGCTATATTTACAAGCATATTTGGGCTTTGTCATAAACTGAAAAAAGTCTTATTTTGAGGTCCTTAACATGTTTGTTTAAGATCATTTTTCTGTTGGGGGTCATCTACCCCCTTTGCATGCTTCATTTCATCTTATTTTGAGCCATGCCTTAGGGCCTTTGCATTGACCTTTGTTTGGTCTCTTAGCCACTGAAATCCAGCAGATTTTCAGTGGCTAGAATGCTATTTTGAGCACCAAAATCAGAGAGGGGTGACCCTCTCACCCCTTCTCTTGTTTACTAGCATATTTGGCCTAACAAATGAGTCCTTATTTGCATGCTTCCAAGCCATGTTTCAGGCCATTTTTGGTGGGTTTTAGGATCTTCATAGGCTCTTTCCAGAGCCCATTTTTCCATTTTGGGTGTCAATCTTGCATGTGTAGAACAACCCTCTTTATAGCCTATCAAAGGAGCCTATCATTCTTGCATGAATAGACCATGTTTCAGTGGGTTTTTGGGATTTATTTGGCATTTCATACCTCTAAATTTTGCTGGTTTGATGGCCTCTTGACTGCCTCACATGCTTGTAGTGCAAATCCTCTTTACTAGCTTACATTGCATGCTATTTTGGCCTTTGATTCTAGCACTTTTTGGCCATGCTTTAAACTAATTTTGTGCATGTTTTGGACTGCCTTAGCTCTGTTTTTATGCCTCATGGTCGAATGATGCTTGTTATGCATGGTTGTAGTTCAATACCCTTGCCTAGTTTTGAGTTTTGCAGCCTATTGCATGCTTGTCTTGAAGTGTTTCCATGTTTTGGGGTCATTGTGAATCATATTTTAGAGCTTACATGTATGCCATATTTCCATGTTTTCCACTCTTTAAATGCGTTTGAGAGTCGTGCTTGTATGCCTCGTTTTTCGACCATTGCATGAGCTTCATTTCCATGCCTTTCAAGCCATCATTTCAGACCATTTTCCCACTGTCTTGGACCTGCCTAAGGTCTGTTTGGGGTTGGTTTTGCCATTTGTGCATTGCTTTATGTACCTCTAGTGTAATGCGCTTCACTAGTTTCGGTATTCGGGCCATCTAGCATGCATTGTGTGACGTGTTTGCATGATTCGTGACCATCTTGCATGTCATTTCAGAGCTGAAAAATGTGTGTTTGTATGCCATATTTCATCCCTTGCCATGCTTTGATAGAGTTGCATTTGGTGCCTTAGGTTTGGTCCCTTGCATTTGTGCATGTTTGCATGTGTTTTGTTGCCTAATTTCATCATGTCTGGCCACTGATTTGGGTGTGGCTGAGGCCTATCCATCTTGGTTTAAGTCCATTTAGCATTGCGCATGCCATGTAGTTCATCGCATTGAGTATGCTATTTGACATTCGCATCGTGTATGCTAGTCTCATTTTGTCATATTGTTGCATGCTTATGATTGTCTCGCATTAAGTGTGTGTACATTAGCATTGTGCATTGTGCATGCCATTAGCCTTGCTAGGTTGTTCATGTTGCGTTCCATATTGACATTGTGTATGCTAGGTGCATGTTTGCATGTTCCACCCCTTGCATGTTTCCATGACCAAGTTGCATTGCATTTAGCTTGCATGCAAGAGTCACATTGTGCATACCATACTTGTTGCATTGTGTTTGGAATAGGAGTTAGTCCAAACACGGGAAACGAGGAACGTTTTGTACTCAAAGTGACGAAATGTACCTTAATTCATAGTCGCCGACCCTCTTGACTAACACATGATGGAGTTTAGGCGTTTATGTCTTCATATGTGCATTCATTCCATATCAAGTTGTGCAATTCGACTCCTCGGCCATCATGCATCGAGATGCGTGATTGGTGGCCCGAGGGTCGAGGACTACACTCCCTTGAGCTTGTGTAATGATGAGAGAGTGGTCGTGCACACATTTGTTGAAAATACCTTGCTATGCTATGCCTCTCTCGTGCTTTGTGTTGCAGAAAACCAGGAGCAAGAGGCAAACACTGGTCGGCCGACCAGCTTTTATGGCAGGCCGACCACCTCTTTTGGTCTCCACCATAAAAGGTGGTCGGCAGGTGGTCTCCAAGGCCAAGGACTGGTCGGCAGCCTTCCCACAGCTTCCCAGGGTGGAGTTTTAGCCTTCTGGAGCCTCGTGCAGTGTTCTGAGGTCAATTGCAAACAATGGCAAGTCGGAGCATCGTGATGGATTTTTCGACAAGGCGACTCGAGCATGCATGCATTGTTTGTCATTCAAGACCGAGCTGAGGCAGTCCATTTCATATGTTTTGTATGATAGCTTATTTATTCTAGTTAAGTTGTTAATTAATTAGGGTTATGTAATAATTAACTGTAATTCGTTATTCATTCGGTTGTGTATAATTTATTCGAACCCTCCGAGGAGGGCAATGTTGTAATAAGTGTGCGTGTGTGTGATGTATGTCTTCCAACCCCACGTCTTTCTCCCTTTTATTTACCTGCTTATGATGGTTAGTTTTAGGGCATGTTTCAATTAGCATCTATATATTCGCATGTTTGCATCCATTCATTTGTCTTGCATGCACTGGGCTCGGTGCATCATACTAATTGCATTGTATTTCAATTCCAAGTTGAATACATGTTATCTGTTGCATTTCATATGCCATGTTTAGAATAGCCGATCCTACCTTAGTTACATTTTGCATGTGTTGCATTAGCCATCTTAACATGAACTAGGATCATGCATTGATTACTAACTAGTTTCTGTTTTGGCTTGGAGTACTCGGTAAGTATTTATGCTTTAGCATCCTTGCATGCGTATGAGTGACTGCCATGATAGCATGCTCACCATGAGGCTATGTGTTTATGTGATATAACTGCCATAATGCTTGTAGGTGAAGGCTGGGTTGCTTGAGTTGGAATAATTCATCGAAACCCGTGTTTGCTATACTTGCGAGTAGCAAACTTCAATCCATTTTCAAAACAAACGGATATGCGATGCTTTGTTCCAATTTAGGCAATCTAGTCTATACTTGTATGTTGTGCGCATCACATAGTAATTCTAGGCTAATAAACTGGAATAAGAGCACATAATGTTTTTAAAACTCGATATCATGGTTAGTAGAGGACGATCTTTGATCGGGCGAGCGGGGGTGCTCACGAAGTGACCTTCCCCAATCGTACCCAAGTTTTCGAGCTGAGGCAACTTTGGTGATGATGGACACGTGGCCTTAGGCATGAGTCAGGGTTTCCTAAATTCCCCCAAAATAAAATATTTGGGTGGCGACTCTGTATCTGGCAAAGCAGTCTATGTTTGGCACTTCTTTCTAAAAATCTGTTTTTCAAAACGATTTGTCGGATTTGGACTCTTTGATGATTCATCGGTCTTGCATTGCACTCTGCAAGATTAGATACAGCACCGTGACATTGAGTCTTGAACTGTAGTAAGCCCCAATGAACAAAACGAGATTCCCTCCCGGGACGTTCGGAGACGTCTACAATCATGCAAATGCACGTGAGCATGACTAAGACAAAGTGAGGGTTGTTACACCATCATTGCTCTGCCTCTTTTTTGAATTTTCCCTTGCTCTCTATGCTGAACTCCTTCAAAAAAGATGTCTTATTGCCATATGTAGGCCATTGTTGGAAGACATCCTTGTAATATTATAGCTTCATTTTGCTTAGAAACATATTGATTTACAAATTTTCATCTGTGGAGATTTTTTCTTTCAAGTGATTGTCTTGTTTAACTGTAACATTGTGATGTGAATTTTCTACAGCGGCCTTGATACATGAATTGTTCTTTATTTTGTCAACTCAACTCTACTCGAATATTCTCTTAGGATGCTATTTTTTCTACATTATTAGTGTTTTGGAATATTGTTATTATTTATTTTCCTGAATCATAAGTTGATATCTTTGTTTGTGAACGTTGATTTCACTTGAATGTGCACCTTGCCTTTTTCTTTTTCTTTTCCAGGTAACTTTCTTACGCTTATTCAGCTAGGTGGGGCATTGTTTACAAAGCCAAAATCAGCGAAGGGATGAACTAACGAAGAGGAAAGAAAGGGAAGTTTTCTATCCAAATAAGAGAACAACAAAACCACTCAAAATTCACCTGGAAGTGGTTTTTGGGAAGAATTATGGGGTGTTTAGTTGTGTGGATAACTAGTTACTTAAAGAAAATGTATCCTCTTAACTGTTAGTGATTTGGATTGAATTCCCACCTGATAATTGTTAGGTTTCAACATTAAATGAAGAAGAAGAAGAAGAAGAGGAAGAAAAATTGTTAGAGGTCTCTACCATTCATATTTTTAGTGTAAAACATGCTTTATGAGAATGTGACTACGAGTAACAACCCACATTTTGTCTTTCTATGATTGTGCCTTCTGCAACTAAGTGACATGGCAGAATCGGAGGGGATGAAGTAAGGCCTCATTTTTATTTTTATTTTGTTAATTCCCTTAATTGCATAATTCTCTGTTAATCCTAGGTGATTTTTGTGTTTTAAGAGAGATAATGACTACAACACTTGCACCACACTATGATATTGTATAAAGCATAAAGTGCAAATAGTAAATCAAAGCAATTCTTTTCGACAAAGTCAAATTAAATTCAGGTACATCATTATATGTTCTTTTCCTTTCATATTAAGTAGACTTGTACCAGTTTTGATAGTTTTAATTTGTGTTGTCAGCAGAAATCCATATTCTTTTCATACGTTTGTGAGGTACTGAGATAATGTTATGATGAAGTTGTAGTGTACTTCTGTCTCTCATCAATTGAATTCTAATTCAGATGACCACACCATGCTCTTTTTTTTTTTTTTTGGACATAAAGAACTACACTTCCATATTTTTAGTCAAAATAAACTGATAGTTTCTACAAAGATTTGTACTCACTCCCCCATTGAGTACATTATTGTGTACAAGGACAAGTTCCATTAGAAGTCGACTATTAATTTTGACTACGTATTTAACCAGTATTTCTGGGCAAGGTCATGTGGTAATCCCAACTTGTTATTGATTGAAACATGAAGCCTTGGTATTTTTATGTTGAGTTTTGAAAGATAACCAACTTGTTATTGATTGAAACATGAAGCCTTGGTACTTTTATGTTGAGTTTTGAGAGATAAGAGGACAAATAACAGAGTATATGGAGTATATTCAAATCTACCAAATAAATTCCTAATAGAAAATAGGAAACTACTCCCTAAAAATAAGAAATTAAATATTGATAAGATAGTAATTAAGCTATAATTAAAAATAAAATAAGTAAATTTTGCAGTCTTGGACAAGGATGTAGGTACATGTACAGGAATGAATTCTTGGATCATCCTTTGATATGGGCAACAGTTACTATGTATTTACCCCAAGTTGTGATCAGCTAGTGACTTGAATTCATTTTTATCTTTGCAGGATTTCATAATGATGGATCCCTCGTCATTGTATGCCAGTTCCAGGAATTTTTCTGATCAATATGGAAACATAAGGCTAGACATCGACGACATAAGTTATGAGGTGGTTAAATTTAACTGTTAAAAAAGTCATTTTTGTAGTCTTCCCCAACTATTACTAATGTGAAGTTGGCTTTGGACAAGAACTTCTTGCTCAAGGAGAAAGGATAGGGAATGTCAACACTGGCTTGTCTGAAGATATGACTTCAAAGTGTTTGACAGAAACAAAGATCTATTCAGATCGAAACAATGAAGAAAGAACCTGTTGCATCTGTCTTGTAAGTTATTACCATATCTTGCCTCTCTGATGTGACCCAAAAAAGGTATAAGGTTTCATCTGTGATTGATACCCGAAAAATAAAGAACATGTCTATGATTATCATAAGATGGAAAACGGTGTCTAAAGAAACTTGCATTTTAGGCATCATCTTTAGTGTGTTAGGTTTGACGAGAATCTTGCTATATTAGCTCTTGAAATGACCTGCTTTTAATGTAGTTTTGCGTATTTGCTTTTTAAAATTGCGTTAGGATTGTAAAAATGTAGTAGCTGTTGATATGAGAAGTCGATGGAACTATTTTGATTAGACGAATAAAGTTTCAAATTACTTAATGAAGTTAATTCTTTGATATTTTTAGATGGAAAAATTCATATAGTAAACATTATTTATTTTAGGATATTTCTTGTTGTAAACACGTGTTATTTAGTTTGTGCTTAATAGTAAACATTTGGACCTTTCCAAATTCCACAAAAGGTCATTAGCACAATGACATGACCCATTGAACTTGGTTGATCATAACCTGAATAAATGTAATGTCAAACATTTTGGAAAATCCTTTCATGGGATGTTGCTAAAATATTAGGCATGCACGAATATTACTAATAATCACAAATTTTCAATTTTTTCTTTGTTTTCATTGAAGTAGATTAATTTCACCTCTTCCACTTTTTAAATTTGATTTTTCTCTTGAGCTTCTTATGGCCTGGATTTAGTAGCAAACAATTGAGATATTGAATTTTTGCTAATTTTCCATTATGACATTGCTTTTATGGGGCCATTGAATTATTTTATTAATTTTGGAAATGTTTTGTTAATGTTTTAAAATTTTTTGATCATTTCTTAATACCTTAAGAAATATTTTTGTCCCTAAGTCATTGGTTTTTGTACTTATGTGAAGTTTCCTTTGTCATGCAGACAAGAAATGCAACAGGGTTAGTTGCTCCAGCTATTGCAGTGGGTTTAGGTGTCTTGACACATACATCGGGCACTCTCGTCCCTGTGATAGGAGCAAGTGGATTTGTTACAGCTGCAGCTGCAACTACTATAGGAACTGTTGTCGATAGCTTTAGATAATCTCTTAATAGTTGTCGATATGTTTAGAAAGTTAGATATGCATAGTTTTGGATGGTTTAAACAATTTGTATAGTTTAGAACTTAAGGATATAGTTTTCGAATGTTTGGAATATATAGACAATTGTTTAATGTTTATAATTTATGGATACAGTTTCTTTTTGATGTTTCAAACAATATTTTGGTGGTTGATTGATGTTTTGTGATACTCGTTTGTAATATTTGTTAGTGTCACGACCCAAACCCGGCCCTATGGGTTTAGCACCGTAACCGGCCAGTAATCCGAGATTACCGAAGGCCTGCTTAACAGTAGTACAGTAAAACAGAGTACAGGGCCTGGCAGAAGCCAATACAGTAATTAAACAATGCCCAATGAGCTGTGACTGTCACGCCCCACTTTTTATTACTCGGAGTCATTACCAAATTCTTTAATTTAATCCAATTTTAGAGATAACATGCGGAAATAAACTCATACATTCAATCCGTAGAAATGATTAACAATACTCTCATTCGTATGCAAAGTAAACATTACATGAACTAACTTAATAAATTGCCCTTGGGCTTACATCATTAAAAGTACAAGAAGAAGGGTGTAACCCTTTACAACAATGGCATTCCGCCAACATAACTAAGGCCCCGTGGCCAACAAATAAGAAGATCCAAATCTTGTAGCACACCCTGCTCAACACCTGAAAAAGATTCAACAACGTGGGATGAACATATAGTCCAGTAGGGAACTCAACATGTTCCTTAACAATAACAACATTACAGATAGCTATGATCATGAACACCCATTCTCATACTAGAATAATAATGTGACAGTTTATACAAAATATATATATAAATATATATATGAACTTTTCTTGAAAACAATCATTTAATTCACCGCTATAAGCGATTTATCCTCCCTTTTTCCTTTCATTAACCCCCGTTCCCAATCTTTTATAACATTAACAACTACTTAGAAACATAGATTCACTAAGCCCATTACTCTTCCATTTGCCACACATACCACAGATGTGCCTTTTCAAAACATATTTGGCATTTCAATGCAATTCCAATTATATCATAATTATCCATGCACACCTCTATAAAAAGATAACAACTCAACTACATATATAAAATCAATCAATGAGTCAACTCGTCCCTCCAACACTGTAACAAATACAATCCACAATGTTTCCAGATACACTGAAACAATAACAAAACAACACTGCACTACTAGCTATATGCGTAGTAAGCCAAAGATACACTTCTCACCACAATCTACCAGTTTACCAGGCGCTAGCTGGAAGTGTATGGTACCTTAGATTATCAGCGCGTCAGTTCTCCAGGCGCTAGCTGGAAGGGTATGATACCTTTGATTACAAGCGCTGAACACATAAGTGTGTGGAGTCCATCCCCTATCTTCTCACACACACTGGAGTACAACCCCTCTCTTCTCCCAAACCAGTATACAAATATAATGTAATTCAGCATTTCATTACATATAATGTTCAATCAACAATGGTGTATTACATACACAGCAATTCAACACAACCACGTCATCCTCCACCGCTGACCAAGGATAAAACCTCTAGATGCAAATATTTAGTACACCTATTAAAGACTCAATTACTATGAGACCACAAACCCGACAACAACATTAACATGGTAGTTCAAGATACAATTCCACACATGTGTGTGTTCAACACTCATGAAACAATAATCCAATTTTCATACGTATTTCAAAACACTTTTCCCATTTCACAAAACAAGTTCCACTTCCCTCTTTGTTTTAACAAAACCAACTCCGTCTCTTTAGTTGTCACAAAACCAAACCCATCCATTTTATTTTACAAAAACCGATTTCTACCAATAAGGAAGCCATAACTCACATTAGTACACTACATACATCTAAACCCATTTCAAAGCCAAAGTTAACCCCTTAGGCATCAACACCTTCACCCACTCACATCAACAATAGAGAGTTACAATTTAGGTTCATTATTCTCCATTTTAATTTATTAATCAAAATATGATTTAGGCCTTTTTCCTTTATCAACTACAACATGCTAATTTACACTCCAATTAGCCCAAAACAACTCTCAATGATAACATAACCATTTTCAAATACCCAACCCTAGGTTTCTTCCCATGATTTCAAACAAATCCAACATGGATATGATTTTTATGCAATACAAAATTACCACATGTCTATCTATAGACGAAGTATTGAAAAAGAACAAGGAGAATCCCTACCTCGAATAGAGAAGACGGAGATGAAGACCAAAGACCCACGTGCTCCAAATCCCAAGTTTCTCAGATTAAAACAAAGCTCTCGCGAAGCTCTACCTTTCTTCCAAAGGAACTAGGGTAGAAGACCACCGGGAATAGATCAAAACTTAGAGAGAAGGTAAGAGTAGAGAGAGAAACTCTCAAGGGGCAGTTTTTAAAAGTTAAGAGAGGAAAAGTAGGTCAAAAAGTGATCCAAAAAGTGAAATCACGGACTGATGTAGTCGACACTCCGCTCGAGCGCGTAGAAAACCCCGCTCGAGCGTAAGACACAGACTCACGCTCGAGCGTAAAAAGAGTCGCTCGAGCGCTGATTGCACACTTCCAGAAGTTTTGCAGTCTACTCTCCGCTCGAGCGTAAAACTCCCCGCTCGAGCGTATGGACAAAAAACAAAGGATCACGCTCGAGCGTAAAAACTAAAGCTCGAGCGGACTAACTGCAGAGTAAAGTACTGGAAGATGGAAAATCACGCTCGAGCGGAAAGGCAGCAACAAAAGCCCTACCGCTCGAGCGTCAAAGCGCCGCTCGAGCGGAGAGACCAAAACCTTGGGCAAAATTTCAAAGCTTTAAAACACAACCAACTAATTCCCAACTTGCCCAACACAACCCAAAACTCTAAAACAAAGAGTAAGGGATAGAAATGAGGATAAGACAACAACGAATCTACGGAACTGAGTCCAGATTATAGATATACAACAACAGGGAATACCGGGATCGCTATAGTGACAGTCTGTATGCAAAAAGACATTCAAACATATTTACATCCAGTGGAAAAGTAAACACAACATATACAATCATTCAGTATAGGGACTTAATCCTTGTTCAACAGTACAGTAAACATTTAGTCTATACAATCCATTCAGTTATTACAAACAGTAAGACAGTACAGAAGGGGGAATTCTAAAACACCCCTAAGCCTTAGCATGATAGGCTCGGAACCTCGCAGTGAGGCACATAGGCTGGCTTGACAAAACTGGAGTAACCCTGACGCTTCTAGCTGCGGTCTGGTGCCTGTACACCTACATATATATATATATATATATAAGCAGTGAGCTAAAGCCCAGTGAATAACATAATGCGTAAAGGGGTTAAGAATGAATGTCCTTACAGTAATGAAAACAGTCCATTAAATCAGTATTTCAGTCATTCAGTCAGTACAGTCATATGTGGTACATCCATTAGCATAACAGTACAGTAAACAGTAGGTCTTAAAAGACCGAGCAGTAAATGATGGCCATCAGTCAGTAACAGTAGTGGTTCCAACGAGGGAACCGACAGAGATCTCTGTAGCAGTAATAGTAAACAGTAGGTGCTAAGGATGCCACAATACAGTTCAGAATATAGGACATGCATTCATTCAGTTAACAGTAATCAGTTCAGAAAACACTGCAGTTCAATTGTTCAAAAGATAATCATTTTGAACATATCTTTACACAGATGTTACTCACAGAGTTCTGGGCTACAGTAGAGCTAGAGCGTCTCCTCAGAAAGCCAATCCTACACAGTTAACAGATTGAACACACACTAAGCTACACAGTTGGGAAAGATAATAACTTAACCCCTAATTTGCCTCGGTGTGTTCTACATCTATATCCTCAACATGATGTCTTAAACTAGGCCTAAGAATGCCTAGGATGGGATGAGGATGCAAAGATGTGATCAGAAAACAGTTTCAGGATTTTCAGAAAAACAGAGTCCCGCTCGAGCTCAGGTTTCCCCGCTCGAGCGGACATGCAACAAAGGTACGCGCTCGAGCATCAAATCCCACGCTCGAGCGTACTGTAAAAGTACTGGATGGGTGAAATCTCCGCTCGACGAACGCTCGACGCCCGCTCGAGCTTAAGACACATGACTCCGCTCGAGCGGACTGTAAAATAGTGCAGAGATACTGGATGCTCGGATTCCACGCTCGAGCGTCACTTTCCCCCGCTCGAGCGTAAGTGCAGAATCTGGAAATTCC